GGCAAACAGTCCGCAGCACAAACACTCTTTCTTAGAACAGTCTAACAAAAGGAGTTTCACATAACCAGCATTCATCATTTCAAGGTTACAAGTCCACAGCCCCTGAAGGTAACTGTTAAAATAAACCTTCAACTGTAACAGGAAAGCCCATTGCCCTTAGAACTTAAGAACTCAATTCTATGGTAACAGGATACAGAATAAGTATGGACACTTTAACGTTATGGCAAAAGCAGGTAAATATTCTCTGCCCTTCTTGTTTGTTTATCTAAGCAGTACTGCCAGCCCAGGGCTTGTACCAACAAAGTCCCAACTTGTGTCAATCTGTAACTCAGGGTTCTTCTAGATGCTTCTGAAACATGCAGCTTATGGTTTTAGCTATAACTTTTTTTTTTTTTGAGACAGAGTCTTGCTCAGTCACCCTGGGTAGAGTGCCATGGCTCCAGCATAGCTCACAGCAACCTCAAACTCTCAGGCGCAAATAATCCTCCTGTCTTATCCTCTTGAGTAGCTGGGACTACAGGCATGCACCACCATGCCTGGCTAATTTTTAGTTGCCTGGCTAATTTTTTCTATTTTTGGTAGAGACAGGGTCTCATTGTTGCTTAGGCTGGTCTTAAACTCCTCACCTCAAGTGATCCTCCTGTCAGCCTCCCAGAGTGCTAGGATTACAAGCATGAGCCCCTGCGCCCGGCCAACCTGTAATTTTTTATTTAAATTGTTATGAGTACATAAGAGTTGTGTATATTTATAGGGTACATGTGAGGTTTTGATCAATGTGAATTGATCAAATCAGGGTAATTGGGGTATCATTGCCTAAAGCATTTATTGTTTGTGTTAGGAACATTCCAATTCTACTCTTTCAGTTATTTTAAAGTATACCATAACTTATTGTTGACTATAGTCTTAGCTGTAATTTTAACCAAGGCTGTTTTGTACAGTTAGGGCTTACATCATTTATTTCCATTACAGAAAACACCTAGCCTAATGCTGCAGATGAAAGTGTTCGGAGTGTTTCCCTGGTTACATTAGTGTTACCAGGATGTGTTCTTTCTAGTGCACATTTCTGAGCCTACCTCAGACACACTGAATTAGGACCTCTAGGGCTGTGGTCCCCAACCCCGGGGCCGCAGCCCAGTACCGGCCCGTGGCCTGTTAGGAAACATGCTGCGTATCACCGCCTGAACTCTGCACCACCTGCCTGCCACCCACGACACCACGACACCCCACCCCCCACCCTCGGTCCATGGAAAAATTGTCTTCCATGAAGCTGGTCCTTGGTGCCAAAAAGGTTGGGGACCACTGCTCTGGGGGAAGTCTCTATGGTGCAGTTGTAACAAAATCCCAGGTGATTTTTATGTACATAGGGAGTGAACTGCCAGGAGGTGGTTGTTTAATGATTACTTGCACGTGCCTCATGCAGAGCTTTCAAATAACGTTTCTAACTGTAAGAAAATGCACAGTTCTTTTATTCTGGATGGTGGGACCCCCCTCCCCCCGAGGGACTGGGACACAGAGAGGAACCCGCCCTCTCGGGTGGGGGGCCGAGGATGTTTCCTAAAAGAGATGGGAATATCTAAACCAAGGTTCTCAACCGCAGCACTCTTGACATTTGGGGTCTGGTAATTCTTTGTCGTGGGGGGCCGTCCTGTGCATTGTAGGGTGTTTAGTGCTATCCCTGATCTCTACCCACTAGATGTCAGTAGCTCCACCCCCCCAACCCCGTGTTGTGACAACCAAGAATGCCTCTAGATGTTGCTGTATATCCCTTGGGCAGCAAAACTGTCCCTGTTTGAGAACCACTGGTTTCACTATGGTAAAGTGGCGGGGGTGGGGGGCACATTCTGTTCAAGGAGCCCTTGGGAGAAAGAAATAAGATCCCAGGAGTGGGAATGACCCTGATCCAAGTTGAGCTGTGAACAGTGACTGGGAGATCCCAAGGGAGGGAAGGTGGACCACGTCGTGGGGTGGGGTAGGAGTGATGGGAGCAAAGGTGTGGAGGTGAGGAGGCCTGTGAAGTGCAGGGTGCTGAGGAGGGGGTGGGGGAAGGCCACCCAGATCCCAGGGTGTGGCAGGCCGTGCTGGGTGTTGGGGTTCTCCAAGCCTGCCCTCCACCAGTATCTCCTAGGCTCAGCCCTCCCCTCTGCCTGTGCCCGCAGTGCCTCAACCTGGCCATCCTGCTGGCGGACATGTGGTTCAGCTTCCTGCCGAGCATCTACCTTGTTTTCCTGATCATTCTGTATGAGGGGCTCTTGGGGGGCGCGGCCTATGTGAACACCTTCCACAATATTGCCTTGGAGGTGAGCACCCGCCAGGCGAGGGCTGTGGATGGCCTCTCTGGGGAGGTCCAGGGCAGGGAGCTCTGGGACCGAAGCCTCACCCCTGTTCTCTGCCCTCCCAGACCAGTAATGAGCACCGGGAATTTGCCATGGCAGCCGCCTGTATCTCCGACACCTTGGGGATCTCCCTGTCGGGGCTCCTGGCCTTGCCTCTGCACGACTTCCTCTGCCGTCTCTCCTGACACTCAGGCTCCTCGGGATGCAGGACATGCTGACCTGTGGGCAGGTCAGACACCCAGGCCTACCCATAGCCCATCCGTGAGCTCTGCCCCGGCCTTACCTGCAGGCTGGGGGTGGGGCAGTGCTAAGGCCTTATTCCAGTGAGCAGGGGCAGCCGTTGCCTCCCATTCCCAAGCTGGTCTCGGGGAGTTTCTTCCTGGCATCATGCCCTCTGAATAAATGACTATTTTATCAGTTGACTTTTTGTGCCATTTTTCTTTCTGAAAAAAAATTAATTTTCTTGTATTATAAAAGCAATAGAAACCTGCTTTGAAATATATACATATAGGAGAGCATAAAGAAAACATTTTAGGGTCTGGTGCGATGGCTCACACCTATAATCCTAGCACTCTGGGAGGCTGAGGTGGGGGGATCACTTGAGGTCAGGAGTTTTAGACCAGTCTGAGCAAGAGCAAGACCCCATTTCTACTACAAATAGAAAAATTAGCCAGATGCAGTGGCACATGCCTGTAGTCCCAGCTACTTGGGAGGCTGAGGCAGGAGGATCGCTTGAGCCCAGGAATTGGAGGTTGCTGTGAGCTATAATGACACCACTGCACTCTAGCTGGTGTGACAGAGTGAGACTGTCTCAAAAAAACCACAGATTTCTGCCTAGTCTTGAGGCTTTATTTTTTTTTATTTTTATTTTTTTTGAGACAGAGTCTCACTCCTTTCCCCGGGCTAGAGTGAGTGCCATGGCATCAGCCTAGCTCACAGCAACCTCAAACTCCTGGGCTCCAGCGATCCGCCTGCCTCAGCCTCCCGAGCAGCTGGGACTACAGGCATGCACCACCATGCCCGGCTAATTTTTTCTATATATTTTTAGTTGTCCAATTAATTTCTTTCTATTTTTAGTAGAGACGGGGTATCGCTTTTGCTCAGGCTGGTTTCGAACTCCTGAGCTCAAACAATCCGCCCGCCTCGGCCTCCCAGAGAGCTAGGATTACAGGCGTGAGCCACTGCGCCCAGCCTTGAGGCTTTATTAATTAATTAATTCATTGATTCATTGGTGGGACAGTCTGTATACATGTTTTCCCAACTTGAAGTTTTCAGACTGACGTTGAAAGAATTGTGCAGTGAATACTGCTGTGTCTGCATCACCTGGGTTGTGTGTTAACATCTGGCTAGTCATATTGCCCCCTCCATCCAAATCTATCCATTCATTAGTCCATCACACTCTTGTGATGCATTTTAAAGCAAGAGGCGACTTCAGTACACTTCCTTCTAAACACTTCCCTGTACATGTTAGTAACTAGAGTCCAGTGTTTTTTATAGTCCTTTTTTAAGGCATAATGTATATAATGGGAAAATGTACAAATTGTTATGTATTTTTACAGTAACTGAAGCTGGCTCAGCAGTGTTTCTCATACTTCATTGTTACCATCTCTAACCATATTCGCCACATCTGTACATAACAATACTTTGATTTACTTCATATTTTTCATTGAGGCAGCTAACTTTTAAGTTGCTAATTTTTTTTTCTTTCTAAGAATGTCTAATCTGCCGGATAAGGCAACTAACTTTTTTTTTCTTTTGAGACAGAGTCTCAATCTGTCGCCTGGGCTAGAGGGCCGTGGCATCAGCCTAGCTCACAGCAACCTCAAACTCCTGGGCTCAAGCGATCCTCCTACCTCAGCCTCCCAAGTTACTGGGACTACAGGCGCGTGCCACAATGTCCAGCTAATTTTTTCTATTTTTAGTAGAGATAGGGTCTCGCTCTTTCTGAGGCTGGTCTGGAACTCCTGAGCTCAAGTGATCCTCCCACCTCGGCCTCCCAGAGTGCTAGGATATCAGGCGTGAGCCATCGCACCCAGCCAAGACAACTAACTTTTAATATAAATTCAGTTATTTTAAAGGGAAACAATGTTATTATTGGAATCATGAGTTTGAAATGTCAGTTATATATTTTTTCTACTATACATTCAAAAACTACATAACTATTGGAATTTAAAATGAACATCCAAGGACCCCCTGAGACTGCCCGATAATTATAAGTGATGTTTGGGACCCTGCTTATGGAAATGCTGGCACACTGGTTAACAGTGTGGGCTTTCAGGTCCCAGCTCTGCCATTTACTAGCTCCATAATCTTGGACAAGTCACCTCACCTCTCTGTACTTCAGTTTCCTGACCTGTGAGATGGGATAACAGTAGTACCAACACTTCATAAGGTGCTTTTGCAAAGTCCATGAAATCATAGGAAAGCACAGTCAACATTCGATACATGTCAGCTCTCATCATGCTGTGATTTGAATCCTGCCTTTTACCTTTGGTGTTGCATTATGCCAGTAGTGTTCAAACTTTAGTGTGCGCCAGAGGGCTTATTAAAATACAGATCACTGGGTCCACCGCCAGGATCTCTGATGGAGGAGGTAGCAGGCAGGAACCAAGACTACGAATTTCTGTCACATACTCCAGTGATGCTGATTTGCTGTTCTTGGAACCACACTTTGAGAACCCCTGAATTACGCTTTTCATTTTAAAACTTTTTTATATAGGCCTTTTTTTCTTTTCAGTTCTACATAAGAGTATCTTATTCGGGCCAAGACTTCTTTTTTTTTTCCTGTGGATAGAAAAGAAAAATAGGTTTCATTTTGATGGGTACGTAATATTCCATCACAATGGGGCTTTATAACTTATTTAGTCATTCTATTAATGTTGACCATTTAGTTTATTTCCGTTTAACGTGATTAAAAATAACTTGCAAATTAGATTATTCTCTCTACATAGGAGTATTTCTTTAGGATGGATTCTCAAAAGTGGAATTTCTAGGGATGAGAATTTTTTAAGTTGTTGATATATAACCACATTGTTTTCTGAAAGGTTTGTTTTAGCAGTTTACACACAACAGCTGTGTGTATGTGTGTGTGTGTGTGTGTGTTTCACAGCATCCTCTGCAGCACTGGGTATAATCATTTTTAATTCTTCCCTAAGTAAATGAGTGAAAAAGCATTCAACCTTGATTATTTTTAAAATTATTTTTTAAAGCTTCATTGAGATATACTTTGCATACCATACAATTGGTTTTTAGTACAATCAAAGATAGGTGTGACCATCACCACAATTTTAGAACACCTCCTTCACCTCAGGGAGAAATCCTGTACCATGTATACCCTGTAACTCTCACTTCACTGTCCTTCTGTCACTTACAGCCCTGAGAAACCACTAGTCTATCAGCCCTTGAACTTTGCCGGCAATACCCAACCGTCCCCAAGGACCAATGTCAGCCCTTTTGCTTGGGACAGCAAAGTGTCCTGTTCAGGCACTTCAACTTGGCCGGCAATACCCGACTGTCCCAAAGGGGCCAATTTCAGCCCTTTTGTGTGGGGAGCCCAAGTGACCTATTTCAGCCCAATAACTTGGCCTGAAATAGCTGAACATCGCCCAAGGGGCCAATTAAGCTGTTTTGCGTGTGGTGGCCAAGCGACCAATTTCAGCCTTTTAATTTGGCCAGAAATACCCGATCATCTTCAAGGGGCCAATTTCAGCCATTCTGGGTGGGATAGCTAATGGTCCTATCCGGCCCTATAACTTCGCTGGTAATACCTGACCACTAACAATTGGGCAATTTCAGCCCATTTGATTGGAGTGGCCAAGTGTCCTGTCCTGGCATTTTAAGTTGCTGACAATACACGACTTTTTCCAAGGGGCCAATTTCAGCCCTTTTGTGTGGGGTGCCAAGGGGCCTACTGCCACCCTTTAACTTGGCCAGTAATACCCGACAGTCCCCTTAGGGGCCAATTTCAGCCCTTTTGCTTGGGGTGGCCAAGGGATATATTACGGCCCTTTAACATGTCTGGCAACGCACATCCATCCCCTAGTGGGATGCTTGAGGTGATGGATACCCCATATTACACATGGTATGTCTGTATCAAAATATCACATGTACCCTGTGAAGATATACAACTATTATGTACCCATAATACTTAAAAATAAAAAATAAAAAATAGAGGGTGCTAGATCTTTATATTTGGGCATGGAAAGGTGTCCAGGATACACTGCTACATAGTTTCTGAGCTGATTGCAGAACAATAAAAGGTACAAATAATGAGATCCCGTTGTTGTAAAAAAAATTTCAATAAATATTTCTTGGTCACCTATCATGTGCAAGAAATCACCAGGCTGAACACTGGGGAAAAACAGTGAATAAGCCGGGTGCGGTGGCTCATGCCTGTAATCCTAGCACTCTGGGAGGCTGAGGCAGGAGGATCGTTTGAGCTCAGGAGTTTGAGACCAGCCTGAGCAAGAGCGAGACCCCGTCTCTACTAAAAAAATAGAAAGAAATTAGCTGGGAAACTAAAAATATATATAGAAAAAATTAGCCGGGCATGGTGGCGCATGCCTGTAGTCCCAGCTACTCGAGAGGCTGAGGCAGGAGGATCGCTTGAGCCCAGGAGTTTGAGGTTGCTGTGAGCTAGGCTGACGCCACGGCACTCTAGCCAGGGCAACAGAGCGAGACTCTGTCTCAAAACAAACAAACAAACAAACAAACAAACAAACAAACCCCAGCACAACTGCTTGTTTATTTACCAACACAGGTACTAGTTTGTACTCTTAGATCAAAGAAAATCCAAAAGACAGGAAATGTCACTCTTTTTCTCTGGGTCCTGTTAAGAAACTAGACAAAAAGTATAAATTATTCAAGATTCCTATCGAGTGATGGTGATTTTCTGTGTGCACCTGTCTAGAGAGCGTGGACTTGTGGAGTGTAGACTTCTGCCAGGAGTCAGGAACTTGAGCAGCAGTTCGCAGTCAGTTTCCTTACACACCCCCTTTTATCCTGTGTGTGTGCCAACCGTATGGCAAAGGCGTTTTGGAGGGTCATGCTTGATAACTTATGCTTAAAGATCCTATGAGGGAGATTTCTCCAGGTAAGTAGACACCCTTCTATAAAAAGGTGGCAGGTTCTGTGAACCTAAAGAGAAGACCGAATGTCTCTCTGAACACCTTTAAATTACTGCTCCAATTGCCAGTTCCTGTGGGGTGGGGGTAAGGTGCGTTAAAATAACTTGAAGGTCTATTTGTTGGCAACTTGGAATGCACAGTGTTTCATTTTTAAACTTCTAAGATTTGAAAACAAGATGGCCTAGGTTAAATAATATAGTTTTCTAAAGCTGAATGTGCTCATTGGGAGTGCAGTTTTTCACATGAAATACAAAAATAACTTCCTAAAACTCCTAGGTGGGAACACTGCT